GCTTCTTTATTCACACTCTGCTGGCATATGTCCCCTCCCCCCTTGCAATAAACACCAGTTCTTGAATACAGTGAACTCCAGTTCTTGAACACTTCAAAGGCACCAGTTAAATGCATCATGATCACCACAGAGATCACCAAGGCCAATATCATTGCTTATTGCACAGCTTACAAAACCACTGATGATGGACATATCCTACTTGTAGGATAAACCTGTTTATCTAGGTTCAGATAGATGTCCGTAGTTCCTATTTGGAGCCTCACATGTCCTGAGATTATCCTAGTCAAAGTCCAAATGAATCACTGAGACATCTTCCCTGGTGATGAGCAGAGGTCTTTCTCCTACCAGGTCTTCAAGCATCCAGAGAAGAGCTTCAGGAGCGGACAAGCTTTGTCTGCTACAGTGACTGGCATGAATCCCACCAGCACCAACCTCTGTTTGTCCCTTACGGGTATGTTAAAGTCTTGTTTATCAGCAGTGCTCCTCCCCGGGCATCTCGCCACCCAGGTTGTGGTTAACAATTAGAAGTGGGGCCTAGACTGGAACCTGAATTGAGCGGACTGTGATTCAGAGTTTAACTTTGGGTCTGTGTCATGTGCAGAACCAAAACTCTGTCCCCTGACTTCCCAGAGATCAGTGTTTTTGAGACTGGTTTTCTGACTTCCTCCATTTTGTACAGCATCAAGCCTTTGGAGTAAAGTAGCAGTTCTCCTCCCAAATGTCCCAGGCTGACTCTTTTGTCTCTGTCTTCTGAAGCAGCTTTGCTTCTGAGTAGTATCTAGTGGCCTGCAAACGATTTACTAATGACCACAGGTCTTAGTATAGCAGATGTGGGGGCATGTCTGGGTCCTGGTACAGCAGATTGGGGTAGGCTTGTGGGGGGTGAACCCGGCATTGCATTACAAAAGGGGTAGTGAAGTGAGAGCACACAAACTACACATAAACAAAAGGCTATGGGTATGGTTGGTGAGTGGGGCAGAACCCTCTTTAGTCACTCTTCATTGCCCTGAGGATGTGATCCATGGGATGTATTAGACCTATGTGGTATCTGACTCAGCCCCTCTGAACTCCTCCCTTCTGCAGGAATCCACTCCCTAGAGAAAGGGACCATCACTTTGGGCACCATAAAAAACGTGACCCCTCATGTTGGCTTGATTGTGGCGCTTCCCTTTGGCAAGATTGGCAATGCCAGCCTCTTCCACCTGAGCGATTCGTACATGGAGCAGCCGTGGGAGCACTTCCGCGTGGGTGAGATCGTCAGGTCAGAGCTTCTCTTGTCCTCTCATCTTCTTAAGTCAAGTGGGGGACTTGGAAAGATCCTTCCTCCATAACTGGTCCTCTTTCATGAGGTTTGACACTGGTCCAGCACATTTCAGCTTCTTCCTGAATCATTTTTGTTGTGTTCCAGCTGAAGAGGCTTTAAACAAACCTTTTCAGGGTGTTTTGGGAAGTGTCAGAGGGCTTCCAACCCCCCAAGGCATTTGGCTTTTAAGTTCTTAAACTTACTTGTAAATATCTGGAGCCATGTCCCTCATCCCATATACTAAGTGTGCATCCTCCTTTAGTTCGCTTCTTGGCCCCTGCTTTGTGGAGAAGGATATCCCCATCAGTAGGGCATTAGACTGGGATTTAAGAGACCTATGTTGAATTCCTACCTCTGTTATGGACTTGTCTCTCTGGGTGGAAACAGATGTTGCTTGACATCTCATTTGTGCCAACATAACATTTTTTAATGGTGATACAAGCTGTGAGCAAATAGATATCACTACCCTTTGTCACACCACATCAAAGGAAAATCAGTGGCACAACAAAAATTAGTAATAGACATTGCTGCTTTATTGCAGCAGACACCTATTAGTTCTCTGGCAGAGGAGTACAAGCAGCCTGAGTTCCTCCTACTCTCCAGCCATCCTGAGCAGGTGCTCTGGGGGCTCGAGGGCTTGTGAAGCACCTGCTTGTTTGCTGCACTTAGAGAGGCACCCCAGGGAACCTTAGTTGCCTCTTTGTAAGCAGGGAAGTTGGAGTTCCCTGCAGCTGGCCTGTCTCTTATGATCACAGGGAACAAGTCTGGCTTAGTGAGGAGATCATGTTGCCCTTCCTCCCACACCACTAAGGACAAGGGACAAGGGGTGACATACTTTACACAGTAAAGTAGCACATTATGGTACATTGATCTGCATTATTTGGTGATATCTGTTTCTAGTCTTGGGCCTGTCAATCTGTCCGTGTCAGCCTCCCATCTGTAGCAGGGGAGTAATTGCATTTTCATACTACAAGGGGCTGTTGTAACCTGTTGGATTCTGTTGCTCAGATACTGTGGTGCAGGGGACCATGTAACATGGGTGGTGTTCCTTTTATCAGTTGACTTATGAACCATTCTCCCATACAGTCTGCAATAGACTACAGGTGCCTCAGAGGAATGGGCTCTTTGTATCCCATAAGGCATGTTTCAAGCTCCATGGGGCTGTAAGAAGAGCTTCTGCTTCCTTGTAGGGCTTTTTAAATTGGGCTTCCTGCTTTCTCTCCTGTCCCCCATACCCAGGTGTTGCATCCTTTCCAATGAAGATGGTAAAATCCAAGTCTCCCTCCGGCAGTCCAGGTAAGGGTTCTAACCTCTGGCTATAGATCTGAGGGTTAAAAAGTGTGGTAACATCTGGTATTTAATAGTTCATGTGCTCTGTAACTCTATTGGCCAATATGTGTGCTCAGGTTATAGCATCAGGCTAACGGTCCAGACTTTGTAAGAAATGAAATTGGCTTTGGATGTTTGTTCGTTCCACGTAAAGGAATTCCTGTGTACCAGAGAATGTGCAGGTTCCTGGCTCTGGATGTGGAGCCCCCTGTCTGGGTTAACATTTCATCATTTTTTATTTACAGTTGTTACAGGCTTGACTGAGATTTATTTGTGCCATTAGCTCTGCCCACTCAGCTCTGGTTTTGTGTGCATCCTCCGTTTTCACTTTGTACCTTGCCTCTTACCGAACTTTCTTTGGCTTTGCTTTGAAACAAAAATGTTTGTTTTTCACTGTGTGTTGGCAGCAGAAATGGATTACTTTACAGTGCAGGTGGCATGTTGCTTCTCAGACTAAACTGCAGATTAAGGGCTTGGATTTTTTTTTTAAACTCTTAACTTTTTGCATCCAGACAGAACTGGGGACATGAGGTGTGGCACCTCAAGGGTCCGATTGTGTACACAGATTGAGCTCTTAAATGTATTCGTATGTTGTTTGTGCTGCACAATTGTGGACTTGTCATGTGAAGAGGCCTTTATTCAGCCTCCCACATGGCGGGGGGGGGAATCCCCATGTTTTCACAAAGCCTCAGTCAGTGCTTTTGCCCTCCTACATATTACATTAGATTTCAGGAAAACTGTGACAAGCCATATTATCTTCAAATCCCCAGTGCAACAGCATGGAGCTCTGTTACGCTTTGTACGTTCTGGATAAAGAGGCAGACAGTGCACTTGAATGAACAAAGATGCTTCTGCTCCTGTGGAAAGGACTCACTCCTTTGCAGCCCCCGGCAGTTGGGACTGACTCTTTTCCCTGTAGCAACATTAGCATGTAGACCATTCAGCCAGCGTGAGGTGTTTTTTACCTCTTGTCTACTTGTCTCTTCTAGAACAAATCCTAAGAGCAATAGTGAAGTGGAAGATGCTGAAATTACTTGCGTCGATGATGTGAAGGAAGGCCAGTTGATCCGAGGCTATGTCAAATGCATCAAGGCTTCAGGCGTGTTTTTTGCGTGAGTAGCATGTGACTGGAGGACTAGTGGGCAGCGAGGGTCTGGGTGAACGTGTTTTGTCGTATGGATACAGGTCCAGAATTGGATTTCCATGTTGTGTAGCAAGCATTCCACAGTGCATTTCTTTCTGGAAGTTAGGATTGTCGTCTTGTTTTCCTTAAGCTTGCAAACTTGCTTTAAAAAGGTACAGACTAAGCTGCAGGTGAGTGCACTGGCAGGTTCCTGTTTCCCATATCCCTTGATCCTGACCTGCAGCACCCTTTGCCGTTCCTGCCCTGTGTCTCTAGAATGGAGGGTGCAAAGCATGTAGTGCTTTGACAAAGAAAATCACATCTTCCCGTGGGTGCTGGTGCTGAAAGCCCTGTAACATCTGCAGCTTTGTTTTCGAAGCAGGTGTATGTGATGTCACCCACACCTTTTTCTCTTCCTTTCAGTTTGTCCAGCTCTGTTGTGGGCCGAATCCGGTTCCAAAAGGTTGCCCCCTACTTTGTATCGAAGCAAGCTGTGTATGAGGAGTACCTGCCGGAAGGGAAGCTGCTCACAGCCAGGGTTCTCAGGTTAGTCTGAGGCTTCCAGCATGGGGCTGTAAAGTGGCAGATGAGAGGGGCAGGAGGAAAGATGAAGGGTTCTTGGGTGGAACAGAAGCTTGGGTGGCCCTTTCAACACCTGCAACTTCCTTTTTCTTTCTCTCCTGTTTTTTGCCACAGTGTGAATAGCCAGGAGGACCACATAGAGCTCTCCCTCCTGCCTAAGGACACTGGGAAGTTGAGTGTCTTGCCCAAGTCCCTGGGCCTGCCCCTCCATGAAACAAAGCAGGAGAAGAAGGGTGAGGAGCTTAAGAAGCTGAAGGCGAAACGGAGAAGACGAGACTCTGAAAGCGAGCAGGTAGCTACATCTGCCTGATGGTTTGGGCCCAAATGAGAGCCTGAGGGTGGGCTGTGAATGGCCTCGATAATCTTCCCTCTTGAAGGAGGAGGTTTTCAGGGTTTATACTTTCCACTCAGGTTAGCAGGACCTGTAACATGAAATCTTTAAAGAATAGGAAAAGATCAATATTCTTGGAAAGCAGCTATGTCCTCCATCAAAGTAACTGTCCTCCATCACAGACGGCACCCCAGCGAGCCATGCATCATGGGCATGTAATGTCTGCTTGTTTCAGCTCTTGCTACCTCCATTCTTCTGCAATAAATCAGTCCTGTGTGGCCAGACGATCCATATGGATGGGGTCTGTAGCTGGTGATCATGAGGGTAGATTTTAACTTGGTAACCAGATCTTACAGCAAGAGCTCCTGCTTTCATATTGGGCTCAGTGACCCTTCTCTGTCACCCAAGGCATTAGCAGGCCTGTTGTGTTCTCTAGCCATCACTAGACAGGAATAGGGTATTTTTGGGAAGAAAAAAACCCACCACAATTGATTTTTATCTCTGAGCTTTCTAGCCATCACCTTTTGCGGGGCATCTGTCAGCATTGGGCCCCTAGTAGCTGGCTTGACACGAAACCTGGGGTGCTTGTGACTTTTCTCCCATGGCTCATGTTGTACCTAGTACATGAGCACAGAGTGAGGGCTGTTGTTTAGGGCTTCTCATTAGTTTTCTCTATTCAAGTGGAATTTTTACTTAGTCTTCCTGATGGTTTCCCTGTCTGACCCTTCACTGCAGGAGGCAAAGCCAAAGAAAAAGAAAATGCATCCTGCTGACAAAGATGACAGTGGGGTTGAAGTCTATTGCTGGGAGGAAGAGGAAGAAGAGGAGGAAGAGGAGAATAAAAGCA